TTCAAAATCAAATGATAGAAAATGTAGTTAGATGGAGAAAATATTCAATAGATAATTTGGTGATACAAAGACTTAGGTGAAACAAACAAGAATGAAGAAAAACACTTATCTCCTTCTGGATTGGAGATAAAGGACCAAAAACTTAGGCGAACACACGAGAATGAAGATGATGGCAGCAACGAGAATAGGTGAAAGTGGTTGAAGCAGACTTAAAAAAGGAATTGTAATTGGGAAAGGCGGAGCTACGTATATCATTAGCAACGAGAAGCAGAGAATGAATAATAGGACTGGTAATGTAAGCAGATTTATGGTTTCATCAGGAAGCAGGAAGAACACTACGCAGGTTGTTGCAAAGAAAGTTGCAGCATTTATAAAATAGAAGCAAGCAAAATCACTGTTTGGCAGGACTGAGACCCACAACTCATCACTACTGCCAGAGGAAGAGGAATTAGATTTGACCCTTATGATTCGTGTCCGATGTATAATGGAATCATTGTTCCCCTGCAACAGACCTCCAGGTGGACTGAGGCATGCTTGGTAGGTAGATGTTAGGATCAATACAGCTACTACTAGCATAGCATTCCGCATATCGCCAGATATCTTGTTGTTCTGACAAGCCACAGTTCTTCGGAATGTTTCCGACCACGACATTTTCAATCTAAAAGACTCTGCTAATGTCCGACGTGCAGGAATTCTTTCAGCTTTCAGACATCCAGCTTGATGAAGAATGTGCCTGGTTTGGCTGTTGTTAAGTTGGCCTTCTAACATATCCAAAGCTGATCGGCCATTCAAATTGATTTCGTTCTTGCTGATCTTACATTCTAATAACAATTTTACCATCTGCTTGGCATATAATAAAAAAAGAAAATAAAATAGATTTTGATCAATGAAATGCTACAATTAATGAGTTGCCTGTTCTAAATTTGCCCCCCCAAAAATATGGCCAAACCCTCAAAATTAGCCCCCAAGTATATATGAGGTTAGGCACAAATTTACCCTTAAACTAAATATAGGAACAAATTACCCTACCAACTAATTTGGTTAGATAAATGACTCTAAATTTAGCTGTTGTTATATTAGCTTTCTGTTACTTTTTGCTTATGTGACCTTTTTATTTATGCTGGTAGTAAGAAAACTGATGTCAAATGATATTAATAGTTAAATTTGAGATAATTTATATGATCTAATTAGTTAGTGGACCAATTTAGATTTACCTTTAGAGGTTGATTGATTGCCAACCTACTTTTCCCATTAAAGTTTTCTAACCTTTTCTCCTTATAAGATTATTTATATATTTTCACATATTAATATTATAATAAGTGTTATTTTAGTTTTTATTTTTCCTAACATAATTTTCAGCTTGTAAACTTTTTTCCCACACTTCTTTTAAAAAAAAAGGTTTTCCCTAACACTTATGTAGAATACACTTGACAACTTTTTAATCAAATTTTGTTATATCAATTTTTATTAAATACAGAAAAGTTAACAACATAACAAAATTATAACTAAATTTTATTACAAAACTTAATTTTTCATACGATATTTGTTGACTTTTCATACAATATTTTTTTAACTACTTTTTTAATAAAAACTTTCCTAATAAAGATGGTCCTTTAATCAAATAAGTTGTTTGAGGGTGAATATATTCTTACCCTATACTGGAGCTAGATTTGGGTTTAAAAAAAAAAAATATTTCTTTTATCTTAAAATAATTGTTATTTATTTACTTTTTCTCCAAATTAAAGATCAGAGAACAAGTTATATATTTCCCTATATTATCTTAAAATATGGTTAAAAGATAAAGTTGAATTTTTTGTAATAGGATAATTAATTAGAATAAATAGATAGTGATATAATTAAATTTAAAAAAAAAATAGTTCTTTGGAGAGAGAGGGAGTAGCTAATTACCTTGGGGTGATTATTGGATGCAGCTATATGTAGAATTGTGTTTCCTTGCTTATCCTTCCTGTTCAGAACTTGTTTATTCCAAACATCACTATCTTTGTGAGTAGTCTTTTGAAGCCAACGAACTAGGAGTTCCAGGGTTTCAAAGCTATTGTTTTTGGCAGCGATTCGTAGGGCAGTCTCACCTTGAATAGTCACATCCGTGATGCATTCGGGACAAGCCTCGAGAAATTCAGCTACAAGATCGAGATCTCCTAGTTCGGTTGCCAAATGCAGAGGGGTTAAACCGCCCCTCCCTTTGACGCGAATGAGATCTTTATCAACTCTCACGAGCTCACGTACTACAAGAGGTTGGTGATTTAGCAAGGCAAGATGCAGCGGGCTAAGCCCTGCAGGGTTTAGCTTTCTTGCGAATGATGACTTTAAGTTCATCATTTCCAAAACAAAATCAATGTGCCCTTCAAAGGCAGCTAAATGTAATGGAGTGTCAACATAAGGGAATTCATAAAAGCTTTCCAAAACGAATGGATTCTCTTGAATCAGTGCATACAAGGCGTCGATATTTCCTGCTTGAGCAACCCTTCTCATTCTCTCATCCATGGCGATCTGCAAGACGAAACACGTAATATTGAATACAGTAAAACAGCCAAGCAGAGGAATAATAAGACTGATTAATTACGACTATGTATGGCTGAACTCAAATGGAGAATGAAAAGGACGATGAAGGAAATGAAGATCAAAGTGCCTCTTATATAAAGCAGATACGCTGTATCTTGTTAACGTGATAAATCGATCCTCTAATTTCTTCCCAGAAATTTCAAAGGGGGAAATATCCCGCCAGATAGCCATCTGTTTTTTTTGCCTTTTTTGGTATACTCCGTTCAGATGGCTTTAATCTCAGCGGGGTGATGCTGTAGGGACGGGCATTTCCCCAAGGAGAATTGGGACCTACGGTCCATATAGTTTTTTCACTTTTAAATTTTAGATTAGTAATTTTTGTAATTTTTATAATTTTCAGTTTTAGGTCCTATACCATTTATTTTTATTTTTTTATAATTATTGTTAGGGTATTTACGAGTCAATTTTTAAGTAATTCGAGATTAATCATTTTTTAAGTATTTTGAGATTAATTCTTTCGGTGATGATTTTAAAAATGCACTTTCAACTTAGTGCATTTAAAAAAGTAATTTTTTTTAAATGTTGATCTTAAAATCTAAACCATAGACCTGGTGTACAAGATGAT